GTCTCAGAGATGGTTCTTTTTGTATTCCTCTCTGCTCCTCCCCATTCTTCTTCTTTGGTGTTAACTGTACGTATTGTCACTGCGTTTGGTAAGAAAATGTTTTTGTTATTTGATGCCGACACAAGCAACTGCATCCACATCAAAAATTACCTGCATCACATTTGTTGTAACCCTAACCCTAACAAAATCTAACAATTGTGTTATTATAGAAAAAGTTATACTCTTATATCAGAGCTGTATTAATGCAGACAAGTCTTTCTCCTGAAGCACTCGACCGGGTCCAAAACAAGATTAAATAATGTAATACAGAGAAAAAGCTGCCATTTTGCAATTAGTCAAACTAGTAATCCATTACTCTAAATCGTAGGCAATTAATTGTGTGCCGTTTAATTTGTTTTTCAGCACTTGTTGCTCTTCTGTTGTATATCTGAAGAAGAATATTTAAACACCATTTGCCAGTGACAGCAGGTTTTAGAGAGGATTATAACTACAAAGAGGTTTCAAAAATTCATTTCACTCATTCATTAATTTCACAACACATTGGACAATAGACCCTACCAATGATGTCCACCTTGAATTAGATGATATATGAAGCTGTGTTTGTTTGTTTGTTTGTTTATTTATTTAAAGGACAGTGCACATTAATCCACATTGCTGTAAATGAGCCAGTATAAGCCAGCAAGCTAATTTTCAACTGTTGTCCTTGGCAAGATGTTAAATGACCACAACAAGACTAGAAAATAAAAACATAATTAACAATAAATAAACAGCAGCACAACAATAGAGAGGAACAAACAAACAAACAAACAGATGAAATATCATCATACCTTGATACAGTTAAAAGTGTATTGTGTGGGCAGGCTGGAGTTAATTGACACACACTCGTTAGCTGCAGAGGAGTGTAATGTGGAAGATTTAAACGCACTGTAATTGGCATTGTGTGCCCTTTCTGTTTGTTACAGCGAGCAATTGTCATGGCTGTTTAAATGATAAGGAAGTAATCGTGATGACATTACCTGTGACTTTCTTTTTGAATCATAGAATTAGAGTCAACAAGGTTATGAAGACACAGTCAATCAGAAAGAAGGGGCAGGGGTTAGGGGAGATTTTACAGATGTGATTATTGAAAACAAACAGTTATGGCTGCAGGAACACGTCGGTAATTAAATATTTGAGCACAACAGAAATCTGCTTTTGTGTTTGAGGGCTTGCCAAACAAAGCTGGCTGCACCAATCCTTTTGTGTTTGATTATTTATCTTATGCAACCACAAGTAATAAAGCTCCTGATACAGATCACGTGCTGACGTTTAAACCGGCTTCATGTTGGATGATAGGTGAGCCAAAGTCAGTGCAATCTTCTCTGTTCATGCATTCATTGAAATGTTACTGGACCATAAGTTATAGCGCTTACAGTCACATTCAAATTGATGATTTTAAAAAAGAGCAATTGACAAGAAACCACTTTTTAACTTCACTATGTTGTCAGGTGTTTTGCATACTCAGCAGATTCAATGAACAGAAAGCTAATTCCAACACATCTGAACATTGGATTGAATTCCTTTGACCCTAACACACACTCATTATATTGATGTAGCTCAGTTGAATCTGTAAATGGTGGTGAATCGGCTGCTTTACTGTAGTGACGAGTGAACAGCTGACGTACGCTGGATATTTTTAAAGGTAAAGATATTCATAATATTTCCGAAGCTTGTGTCAATCAGGCCAACAGACATTAGAGAAGTCATACGTGGAAGCCTGTTGTGTTTATCAGTTACGTGCTGCTAGCTAGTTTCCCACAATAAGCGTTGAACAAACCTCTCCCTGCTGGACAACAAGGCCTGGCCTGTCACACAAACACTAGAAATGAAGGTGTATGCTGTTATAAACATTAGAAAAATAACAACCTGAGAGACATTATTAAACTCCAAGCAAATACTCCAAGTCTGGGAATCATTGTGTGCAAACCAAGGCCTGAACAAAGCAATATCCTTCAGAGTACTTCAGTTTTTGTTGTTGTTGTGCAGGATCCCCTGACATTTAATGAATGGGCATGTTTACAGTGAAGTTTTAGGTGGTTGCGTCTGTATACTGTAGAGAAATGGATCAATTGTATATTTCACTTTTAACAATGTTTGAAAGAGTTTGAGTTACATACTGATATCCAGTGAGTGAGAATTGGCGCTGTATGCAAATCCAAAAATAACTGGAAATCTACAACTACCCCCCAATCCTTACTTTCTTTCTTTCCTTCATACGGTGGGTAAATAGAGATGAGCGGCAATTATTAGAAAGAGACCTGCGGTGAAGTAGGAATAATATTTTGGCACGGTGAATAATTTTCCAAAACACTTAATTAGTTGAGTCAGGCACTGAAATCACGCAGCAAATGTAGATTCTAGTTCACCTCAAAAGACCCCCGGCAGCAGGGGAAGAAACACACCAAATCTGATTAGACAAACCGTGAGAGGGGAGAGAACACACACACACACACACACACACACACACACACACACACACACACACACACACACACACACACACACACACACACACACACACACACTACACACTACGACTACTACTA